GCTGGGGCCCATGCTGGGATGCAAGGCCCAGCGGGACAGGAGCATTTGCCGTTTGTAGCCTTGTTTTTTAATCATTTTCTACCGTTATTGGTATTCATAGCTCACATTTTTCCGGTTACTGTCAGCCTGGGCTTTCATCCATTTTAAAGAGCTATTTTTTCCCTTGTTGATGATGATGATGGTATAAAGACAGATGGTGTAACTGCTTATGAATGTCCTATTTTATTCCCCTCGAACCAGACAGTGCACTTGAAGACGTGTATTATTTCCACATGCTCAGGTTAGAGCCCAGACAGCGGCGGGGCCCGCAGCTGGCTCGGCCTCCTCCTCCTCCCATGCCGATGCTGACACCTCCGGGCCGCAGCCGGGAATGCGGCCGCGCCGGGGCCTTTGTTGTTGGGCCGGACCGGGCTGGGGAGGGGGCTCCGGTTCGAGGGGCTCCGGGCTAAGGGGACTCCGGGCTGGGGACCCCGTGCTCAAAGTGCTCAAGGCCGGGTTGCTCCAGGCCAGGGGCAGTGGGGCCGGCACAGACTGCCCGAGGGCCCGGAGCAGGCCCCGGGGAGTGCTGGGTGTGTGGGGAGAGGGTGAGGCGAAGGTTTGAATAAAACAACAGACACCCACCCCTTCAGGCAGGTTTCTCATAAAACCGGCCAGGCTCTGCTGGCTCTCGCCCTGTGTGGCAGTGCATTGAAGGCTGCAGGGTGGTTTGGGGAGCGGGGGTGGTTTGTTGTTTGGGATTTTTTTTTCCCCAGGGTGGGAAAAATTTTGGAATTTTAATTTCTGGAACGTGACTGCAGCTGCTGAGTTCGCAGCCTTTCCCTCCCGCAGACGCGGCCACTCGCAGGGCAGACCGCTCATCCCACCCCTGCATCAGCCATTTGGGACCCCCCCATGTTGGGTGCTTTGCCCATCGCACCCCTCCCTCGGGGTCCCATTCTCCCAGGCCAGGACCATTGGGATCCCTGTGCTCTCCAGAGCTTCCAGCTTTTAGAAGAGTGAAGGAGAGGCAGCGTATAAATCACAGGACTTCCACTTGGTATCGGTGCTGATCTCTGGATGCTTTTACAAGTTCCTCCCTGATCTGAGTTGTCACATTCTCCCAGGGCGCTGCTGAGTATCTGCAGTCCCCTAATATATATATTTTTAATCCTGATTTCTATCCCTGTCTTTGTTAGTGGGAGGATAGGGGTGGTGCTTTCACTGGTTAGGCAGTTCAGATAATAAAGCCTCAGGATAGCCTAGGATTTACCATGACCGTATAATGCAAGTTAAAATTATGACCTATCCTGCCTCAAAGAGGATATAATGGCTTAAAAGTACCCTCTCTTCCCTGTGTTGATGCAGCCCTCGTCAATTACATGGTGCTGTCGAGCTGCACACACTGTATGTAAGTACCCCAGATGTGAGATGAGAACGAGTGAAATACCCCAGATGTGAGGTGGTAATGAAGTACCCCAGACGTGAGGTGGTACCACCCTGGTGCAAGCTCTGGCAGCCGTAACCGTGGCTCCCCGTGTCCCCGTGTCATGTGGGGCTGCACCGCGCCGTGTCGACATGCTCCTGGGCACACTGCTGCGCTGGGTGACGGCTGGAGAGCGGCACTTTGTGTTTTGTTCTCAGTACTCCACTTCCCTGGGTGTTTTCTCTCCTTTCTGCACCTGTGCGATGCTGCCTGGGTGCTCAAACTCAACCCATGACTGGGATGAAAATAAGACCCCAGCAGCCTCTCCCCATGCCTTGTGCCGGGGCTGTGTCCACAGAAGACAGTGCTGCTCCTTGTGGTCTGAGCAGGAGTGAGTGGTGGTGGTGGTTGTGAGCTGGGGGTCCTGGTGACAGGGGTCAGCACTGCACAGCACCATTCAGCCCAAAGAGCTTGAGGTGGGGATGAGGAGGAAGGTGCAGGAGGCTGTGCTCAGTCTCTGGCACTTCTCTAATCCATGTTGTGGTTGGTAGAGCCTTCTCAGACCAGGGAAATGTTTCACTGTACATTGCACCGCAGGGGATGTCGGCAGCTGTAAGCGGTAGAAGTAGGCGAGATTTTTCATTTCATCTTCATCTCTCACTTGTTCTTCTTGGCCGGGTAGCAGGAGGTGCTGGGAGAACACTGGTTGGCATTGGTACCTTCAGTGTTGGCTGTTGCTCCATTGCTCAGGGGCAGTTACTCACTCTCCTGTGTGGTTTCCATTTTTATGTTACCCTTTGTGCTTCTCTTGTTTCAGAAGAATCCATTGAAGATGTGGAAGGGCCCAATGAAACGGCCGGTGATGCTGAAGAGCCTGCCAAGGAGCAAGACAGCGGAGGGGACAAGGACCAGAGTAAATGGACAGGTGGGTGTTGGTCCCTCTTTTTCTTTAATCTAGGAAAGACAAGCGGGAGGTTGCCAAGCAGGGGTCTGCAGAACTCCTTCCTTTAGTGACTGTTTCACACATCGCTGTCAGCAGGAGCCCAGGGCGAAGTGTCTGGATGCAGCTCCATGATGCACTCATGCAGTTTGAGCTGTGGCTGCCCCCGTGTCCCTGCTCACAGCCCCGGGCTGGTGCTGGGGCCGTGGGTTGGAGCTCGCCCGTGCTCTGGGGCACTGCCCGCGCAGTGGAACCAGCACTGGGAGAGAAAAGGGAGAAGGGAGAAGGGGCTGCACGTTGTGGCAGCGACCAGCACTCAGGGTGTGGGTTAAGCACATCGTGACACACCACTCTGTGTTGTTAAGACCTGGGGGGCTGTCAGCCTGCTTCTGCACCATGGTCCTGGTGGCTCTGGCAGGAGGATCTTGGTGCAGAAAGGCAGAGCAGAGAGGCAGACCCTGCAGTTGTGCTCTGTTCACTGCTCACTGTCTGCTGTGACGTCCCGAAACAGAAACCACAGACGCACAACACTGCTTGCGTTGTTGCAGTGGAATCTGATAGGTTTCTCCTTGCAAAATCCTCAGATGGGTTAATTCTGGAGGCATTGGGTTGCTCTGTCTTTCCCAGAAGATGGTTGCTGTCTTGCAGAGGTGAGTGGGAGGAATCTTGTCAGCATTGGAGCAGAAAGAGCTGCACGATTGCCCTGCTCTGGAGAGGGCCTTGTCCTCAGCTGGCAGTTGCTGACTGCATCGGTGTGGAAATTAAGGCACTGGAGGTGGTGCTGACCTGGGATGGAGCCGTTCTGACTCCCCATTTCTGTAGGCAGTGCAGTCAGGGTGCAGAAGTTGCTTGGTCCGATGGCTCTCCATCTGCAGAGACCCTTCCTCCAGCCTCCCCTGCCGTGCTGGGGCTGTCTCATGGTGAGCCCCAGCCAAACAGATACTGTGGCTGTTACAGCAAAAGGGGAAATGTGGCCTTTCACCTCAGGGCAGCCACTGGAAGATGTGTCCAGACTGCTGAAGAAAGCAGGCTGGGATTTGGTGCTTGGTGAAGCTCATGGCTCAGCCCGGGCTGCCCTCTCTGGGGTTGCTCTGGTTGTCGCTTCCCATTCTTCAACCCAGAGGCGCAGATTTGGCTTGGCTGTAGGTGATTTTCAGTCTCGTGTTGCGTGGGATTGCGTGACCCTAAGCAAAAGCACACTCTGTGAAATATGACAGATGTGAGTGTTGTGTGTTTATTAAATCTCTTAAAGGGTATGTAAGGCCCTTTGCCCAGACCTGAAGCACTCACAAAAGCTGATCTATGTGAAAAAGGCCACAAGGAAGGAGCTGGTCAGCAGCACAGCCCCGGGAAGGCCATGAGCCACAGTGTGGGGCATTGAGGAGCACAAAACCTTCTTGGCCTTCATCTTCGCTGAACTTAAGTGTGAGACCAGAGCGATGCAGTGGGGAGAGTGCGTCCTCCATGGACACAGCAGCATGGAAATGGGCGTTTCACAGTGGCGACCTGGGGAAGGGAGCAGTGCTCCTCAGGCCTGGCCCTGCTCTCTGTGAGCGTGCGGAGAGCGGGGAGGAACAGCATGGATGCGGTGCTGAGCGTTCCCCGAGGAGCTGGGGAACTGCACACCTGGCAGCGCCGTTCGCCCCAGATTTCCCTGGGAATTGACCAAACCACCGCTGGTGAGGGCTGACGGGAGATAATGAGATGAGTGGCAGTCGACACGGATTTGTCAGGAGCAGATCATGTCAACACGACCCAGTTTCCCTCTGCGTGAAGGAGATCTCGTTTGCAGTCAGTGTCTCCTGTCTTCTCCTCAGGAAGACTTTTGATGTCTCAACGCGAAGCTCAAGCGTTGTGGTGCGGGTCTTGTGGAACACGTGCGTTTGCTCGGCGCTGGACAGCTTCCTC